CTTCAAATTACACGTAATAGAAATAAAATTGCTCTCTTTGGTCAAAATTGTACCCGTCTGTAAAACCGAGAAATTTCATCCAGAAATCCTGCCAGTCATTGGATATATCAAATACCCAGCTGTTAGACCAGGGGACTCTACAAAATTCCTAAAGGATAGCCAAGGAAGATGCAGGTAAAATGTCTGCCCTGGTCGGGGAGGCTAAAACTAAGTTACAATTTAAAAATTAGGGTATTAGCATTTGGGACTGAACAAAGAATTTTTTTAAACTCAGTTATGAACCTTCGTAATTCTCTACCACGAGGGGCTGTGGAGGCTCAGTTTTTGAATCTTTTTTATTTGGAGATTGATTACCAGCGGTGTACAGGGTTATAGGGAGTGGGTGAGTAAAAGGCAAAGTATTCAATTGGCCATGATCATATCGAATTGCAGAGCAGGCTCAACATACGGTACAGCCTACTCGTGCTCCTATGATTCCTGGGTCCCAGGTCAGCTCCCTCCTGTTGTACAGGACACGCTGGGTCCCAGGTCAGCTCCCTCCTGTTGTACAGGACACGCTGGGTCCCAGGTCAGCTCCCTCCTGTTGAACAGGACTGGATACTGCTGGTCTGGAAAGAGGTTGGGAGTGAATATAGTTTTCCCACCTCCTCCTGATCTGTAGTAAGGGCCAGCCTGTGGCACTGGACTCACCTCTTGCTACCTGATCGAATCAAGTTGAGGAACCAAGGTGAAGATTCTTTTGAATCTGGAACAGTTCCTGCTGGTTGGAGAGTCTGTAATGTAACCCTACTACTTAGAATTGATCAGGAGGGGCCATGCATGTGGCTTACTTGGACTTTCAAAAAGCTTTTTACAAAGACCCATATAAGGGATTAATGTATAAAATTAAAGCTCATGGAATTGGGGGCTTATGCATGGAGATGGATAGAGAACTGGGCAGCAAACAGGAAACAGAGGGTATGAATGGCAGGCAGTGACTGGTAGGGTACTGCAGGACCTCAGCTATTCACAATATATGTTAATGATTTAAATGCAATATCTCATGTACAAGCTGAGTGGTCAAATGCAAGGCAGATACAGTATAATTTGGATAAATATGAGGTTATCCGTTTTGGGAGCAAAATCTGGATCGTGGATTATTATCTGAATGGCTATAAATTGAGGGAAATGTTCAAAGTGACTTGGGTGTCCTTGAACACCAGTTACTGAAGGCAGGCGTGCAGGTTCAGCAGGTGGTGAAAAAGGCAAAGTTTATATTGGTCTCATAGCAATGAGGGTTCGAGTACAGGAGCCTGGGCGTCTTGCTGCAATTATACAGGGCCTTGATGAGACCACACCTGGAACATTGAGTGTAGTTTTGGTCTCCTTATCTGAGGGAGAATGATTTTGCTATAGAGGGAGTGCAGCAAAGGTTTAGCAGACTGATTTCCTGGGATGGTGGGACTGACATATGAGGAGGGGTTGATTTGGTTAGGATTGTATTCACTACAGTTTAGAAGAATGAGGGAAATCTCAGAAGCCTATAAAGTCTAACAGGACTAGACAGGCAAGGTGCAGGAAAGACAGTGGATTTTTTTTTTGGGGGGGGGGGGGGGGGAGGTGAGCGAGTGGGTGGTGGTGGTGGACACTGTACTGAATGATCAGCTATGATCATAGTGAATGGCACAGCAGACTTTAGGGACTGAATAGCCACCTCCTGCTCCTATCTTCTATGTAAGAGCTCAGAGCAAGCAAGCGAGCGCACAAGACACAGGGCAGAACGTGCGATAGGAAGAGAGACTAATACGCGAGAGACATTCAGTGCCTAGTTTTTAGCAAGAGGGGACTGGTGCCATGAAATGGTGGATGGTGTAGCTGTTTCAATTCAGTGTCTGATAAAAGCTTTATTTTCCATCAAAGCTGGAGAACATTTTGTAAGAAACTCACGGGAGATTATATTCATCCTGAATCCCACTCTATCACAGAGTGTATCACATCAGCAATTCAGGAAGTCTTCTTTCTTTTCTCCTCAGGGCTGAATTCACTGGATGGAGTGATAGTAAATGTGATGCTCACATTGTGAAGAGGTCTAGGAAACCTCAATGGAACCAGCGCTCAGACCTGGGCACTGCTTTTAAAAGAGGACACTGTGGCCTAGAGAAATGCAGTGCAGACCAGGCCGGTATCCTCTCGAATTCAGGAGAATAAGGAGCGATCTGACCGAGATGTTAGGGTGGTGAAAGGATGCACAAAGGTTGAGACACAGAAACTATTTCCTCTGGTGGAAGTCCAAGTGAGGGGTCAGAGTCTGAGACTGCGAGCTACCTGTTCAGGGCAACGTGTAAGGAAGCACTTTCTCATATGGGGGGGCGCGGTGAGAAGAGAGATACATGGAACCATCTACTGAAAAAGCAGAGATTGAAAAACCATTGTACAGAAATTCACAGATACAAAAGCTAATGAAGGGTAAATGGACTTTAGTTACAGATCACTCTGTAATAATAGAATGGCAAAACAGGCTGGAAGGGCTGAATGATCTCTTCCTGTTCCTACTTTGTCACAGCCACATCTCCCAGTTTGAAGGATTGCAGCTTCACTCCACAAGCAGCCTGGGTTACATGATACAGCCTCAGTACAAAGATATTCAGAGGGTGGAGCTGGTTTGTTTGATTGGGACACAGGCAACCAGTCAACTGTGTGATTCCTCGTCCTGAAGGCACAACAGACACAGAGGCTCAGTCACAGGTTTGCAGCCACTTTCCACTCTCTGCTGTTAGACAAGGTGAAGGAACACGCTGGCAGAGTGAGGAAGGAGAATCTGGAGACGTAATAGATGGAGGATGACTTGCTGATAATGGAATAAGGAGACAGTGTCTCCCAGCAACATCAGAAGGGAACACAGAAACAGAAACCAGGAACAGGACTAGGCCATTTGGGGTCCTCAAGCCTGCTCTGCTATTCACTAGGATCATGGCTGATCATCCAACTCAATAGCCTGTTACTGTTTCCCCCCCATATCCTTTGATCCCTTTCGCCCCAAGTCCTTGAAATGTTTCAGACTCAGTTGTTTTCTGTGAATTGCATAGGCTCACCACTCTCTGGATGAAGAAATTTATCCATCTCAGCCATATCCTCAGATTGTGACTCCTGGCTCTGGGCTCCCCCATCATCAGGAACATCCTTCCTACATTTATCCAGTCTAGCCCTGTTAGAATTTTATACGCTTTCACAACATCCCACCTCATTCTTCTAAATTCCAGCGAATCTAAACTGAAGCACTAGTTTCTCCCCACATATCAGTATCACTATCCAAGGAATCAGTCTGGTAAACCTTTGTCACACTCCCTCCATCGCCAGAACATCCTTCCTCAGATAAGGAGGCTAAAACTGCACACAATACTCTCAACTAAGACCCTGTATGTTGTGGAAAGACATCCCTGCTCCTGTACTCAAATCCTCTCGCTATGAAGGCCAACTTTACCATTTGTCTTCTTTACTGCCTGCTGCACCTGCATGCTTACCTTCAGTGACTGATCTCTCTGTGCAGTCCCCTCTCTCAATTCCTAGCCAGATGATAATTCGCCATCCCACTTCTCAAAGTGGATAACCTCCTATTGATCCACATTATACTGCATCTAGCATGCATTTGCCCACATCATGCTGGAACATCTCTGCATTCTTCTCACAGCTCACACTCCATCCAGCTTTGTCTCATCTGCAAATCTGGAGACACTACATTTCATTCTCTCATCCAAATTACTAACATATTGTATAGCTGGCGTCCTAGCACTGATCCCTGCGGTACTCCACCAATCACTGCTGCCACTTGGAACAAGACCCATTCACTCCTGTCCTTTGTTTCCGGTCTGCCAACCAATTCTCTGCCCTGTTAGTACACTACCCTAATCCCACACGCTTTAATTTTACACACTAATCTCTTCTGGGGGACTTTGTCAAAAGTCACCTCAAAGTCCAAAGAAACCAATCACAGGCTTCACTTCAACTCTACAAGTCTCAAAAAATTACAGTAAAATTGACAACCATGACTTCCCTTTTCTAAATCCATCCTGACCCTGCCCCGTGCCAAGCCTGCTCAATCCCGACCCTTATCTAAATGCTCACCTGTTAAATTTTTTTGAGCATTTTCACTACAACTGACATCACTCTCACTGGTCTATAATCCCCAGTTTTCTCTCTGCATCCCTTTGGAAACAGTGGAACTGATCCGGAGTCTGTAGGATCTTGGAAGGTGACCAATGTTTCCACTATTTCTAGGGCCACTACCTTCACTACTCTGGGATGTAGATTATCAGGGCCTGAGATTTATCTGCCTTCAATCCCAATGTCCCCAGCACCATTCCCCACACTAATATCAATTTCGTTCAGTTCCTCCCTCTCTCTAAACCATGTGTTCCCCAACATTTCATATATGTCTTTCTTTGTGAAGACAGAACGAAAGTATGTATTTAGTTGGGCAGCCATTTCTTTGTTTCCCATTATAAATTCCTCTGTTTCTGACTGTAAGGGACCTGCATTTGTCTTCACAAATCTGTTTCTCCTCACATACCTATAGAAACCTTTTATAGTCAGTTCCCTGCAGGTTTAACATCATACTCTATTTTCCCTTTCTTAATCAATCCCTTTGCTCTCTTTGGCTGAACTCTAAACTGCTCCCACTCCCAGGTCTGTTTGTTTTTCTGGCCAATTTGTATGCCTGTTCCTTGGGTCCAATGTTACCTCTAATTTCCCTTGTAAGCCATGGTTTGCTCACATTTCCCATTTTACTTTTGTACCTGACAGGAATGAACAAATGTTGCAGGTCACTAATGTGTTCTTTGAATATTTGCTGTTGCCTTTGCACTGTCATCCCTTTAAGTAATAAGGATATTCAAACAAAGCAAAGCACTGACCCCTTGTGGGAATACTGTAGCACTGCATCAACCTCTTCAGATTTAAACCTGCCTGAAGACATTGAGCAAACAATATCCAAGTCTTCAAATGATACAAACAAAACAGGAGAGTGTGATCCAACAGATTCTGAATTGGAAAACTTTGTTTTTTTAAATAAAAGGCACGGAGGAGGAAATCTGGCTGGACACTCTAATCCATCTCAATCTCCAGCACATTGACAGTGGATTCAGTTCGCTCCCAAGGCACTGGACTCGGAACGTAGGGATCAAATGCCCACTTTGGGAAAACTCGCTTGTACAAGTTCATCAGCACGGTATCCTGGGATTTCAGCTGGCCATCAAACAAACATTTCATGTGTCCATGAGTCCCTGAAAACAACACCATTCATTAGATCAGAGTTACTACCCCAGAGCTATCACTGAGATTAACCCAGCAACCCACCTCCAACCACATACCGCGCTGAGGGAGTGCTGCACTGTCAGAGGGTCAGCGCTGTTCTGTTGGTGGATTGGTATAAAGTGTATTGTGCTTCTTAAGCATTACAAGATGGTTCATTAGTTCAAGTGCTAGAAAGAATCTTACCTAAAGGCTCCTTGATGTGACCTCTTTGTCCCCATTTTGTTCGGAGTTCCACTGGTTTAAACCACAGCACATCCTCTGTAAAACAAATCTTCCCTTTAGTATCACCAGACGCTGTTCATTGGTGAAAGAACAAGAAATTTAGTAACTATCAACTCTTTACAAAGCATGATCAAACAATCCCAGGACAGGGACTGTATGGGGTAAGATACTGAATAAAGCTCCCTCTACTCTTAAACCACAGCAGTCCAAGAGGGGTTCATGCATTCCTGAGGCCCTGCGGTTTCTGGCACTCAGAAGTTCACATTTAGAGAGAGTAGAATCTCATTGTTCAGTGCTGCCATAAACCCTGTCACTCCACAGCTCCTCACCTCGGTTGAAGAACATGTAGCGCACCACAGAGGTTTTGGTCATGATTTTGAAGGGATGGCCACTCAGGATAATTCTCTTGACAATGATTCGGTCAGGGTCAGCCTTTAGTACAGAACCAGTCGCAATCAGGTCGTGCATACCTGGGACCAATCAGGGAGATGGAGACGACAAATAGTGAGTCAGAACCAATTACTGCAACCAGGGGCAGCTCTGAGCTGCAGCTACAACAACAACCCTTCTCCAGAATATCAGTGACACACCAAGGACCCAACTCCCCGCAGCCACTGTCAACGACAATGATGCAAATAATAGTGGTTATTCTACCACGTTGGCACTACACAAACACACACACACTCTATCTGTCCCCCTGGTAGTAATACAGACATGCCCACACACCCCACTCTCGAGAGAAGTACTCTCACTGTACCTAGATACAGCAGAAAACCCATCAGTCCCACCCTCGCATCCCTGTCCCACCCAACCCCATGAGACAGATACCTGCCTGCAATCCCCCTCACCTACTGACTCAGGTGACAATCCACTGCACGTACCATTCGCTCTTTGCTTGAACATCAAGACGGAGGCTGGCGAGAAGGTGATTGGACCATACACAGTCCCCACCAGAGTGGTGTTACAACGTAAAAAACGCTCATATTTGAACTTGTTGGCTGTGACAGAGAAAAGGCCCATTTTAAACAAAGGAGCAGCATATTCAGACATTTCCTTAATATTCAGAAAACCCCAAAGCAATTGACATCCTATGTTTTAAACGTTCTCACTATTCTTACAGACGCAACAAGTTAGACCTTAGGCCCCACAGTGTAGTTAGACAAACATCAATGTGTTAGAAGATCTATTTATCTGCTTTTAATGACCATGAAAGCAGGAATATTGGCAAAGATAACAGTGAAAATGATCTACACTCATGCTCCAACATTGTTCATTTCTGCTTGAAAGAGCAAAAAAGAGATCACGAAAAGCATCCCTCAGCACTGCACTGAAGCCTTTGTTTTATCTCTTGGTCAGTGATGGTCACTGGACACAAGATGAGAACAGCATCAGTTTGTCAAGTTCCATCCCTCCCTCCACTCGGATCCACTGCCTGCCAGGATGACAGCATACCTGCTGTGTGCTGGGAATACAGAGGGGGAGCCCGAAATCTTCGGCAGCCACAATGGAACACCATCTCCTCTTTCGACCTGATGGGCTCAGTGTTGCTCACGTGCCTCCTGAGCAGGAAATGGATCACTGACATCTATCATAGAGAGAAAAAAAAGAGGGCCAGATAGAAACACCTCACAGTTCAGGAGGCAAAACCAATCAGCCACCACCCTCAAAAACTTATGCATCTGACAACAGATGTCAACTTCACAGATTAACAGTACAATGTGCAAACCCCAGCCTCTTATTCAGCACTACATACCACTGGGGCTCAGTACTGGTGGGGACAGGTCTGTCACTGTATAACACTGGGGCACAGTACTGGTGGGGACAGGGTCTGTCACTGTGTAACACTGGGGCTCAGTACTGGTGGGGACAGGTCTGTCACTGTATAACACTGGGGCACAGTACTGGTGGGGGACAGGGTCTGTCAGTGTATAACACTGGGCTACAGTACTGGTGGGGACAGGTCTGACACTGTGTAACACTGGGGGACAGTACCAGTGGGGACAGGTCGGTCACTGTGTAACACTGGGGTACAGTACTGGTGGGGACAGGTCTGTCACTGTACAACACTGGGGGACAGTACTGGTGGGGACAGGGTCTGTCACTGTATAACACTGGGGTACAGTACTGG